TAATGGAATAAATACCATAGAATATCACATTCACTTCTCCCCACTGTTCCATCAGGGTAGTAAGAATACTTTTTCAAAGACAGTGTGGCTGTTGCATCAGAAAAATAAACATACTCCAACAAAGTAACATAGAATTGCTTTTAAAAATATTGTAGAATTTTATTTTTGTAGAACTCAGAAACTGGTTTCAACTATAATCTCCATCACTTAGTTTCAAAATACAATATTCAAATGAAGCACTACAGAAACCATGGTAAGATTAGCAGGCAGTAGAAAAAAAGGATGGTAATAAGCAGCGAAAAGAGGATGAACATTTTTTTTTTTACATACTCTATGGCAAAAGCATTTTAAAACTAAAATAAGTGTAGGTTTACAGCACTTTCACCATAAGGCTTTTAAAGTATGAACTCAGTATGATCTTTGTCCAACTGCAAAGGGAAAATAGAAATGATGGCAACATGGAGCTTCCAACCAGGTTTCAACAGTGAAGATCAGTAAATACAAATGACAGAAATACTCTTGGCAAACACAATCACAAGTTGCCAGAGGAGCCGAATAGTATACAAACAACCAATGAGAGAAAAACGGCTTTAAAAGTGCTCCTCCACCGACACATCAGCACAAGTTAGAGACTTGTTTCTGGTGGGCCCCGATAATTCAATAATACTCCAGGACCTATAATGTTAAATTGGATTCTAAATATTTGAAAACAAAAAAGAAATATGTTGTTCTGTAGCATCAGTGGCAGTGCAATGGTCAGAGATAAGATTGTAATGTTGGCTAATAAAATGTGAGTAGTAGCATTTAAAATGAGTGCTGATGAAGCCAGTGAATGGTTTGTGTATATTAAACTGAACAGTGCACCCATGTAGCAGTGGTAATGACCTTGCAGGTGTCGCTAAGACAGAAATAGAGAAAAGGCAGACTGAACATCTTCACACAGTAGGTGGCAGTAATCAGATACCTGCCATGTCACAGCAAAGGGTCGCAGAGCTAGCAGCCATTTAGGCCACAAGGCTACAAGTCTCTGCAGAGGAGAGAAGTCCGAGGATAGGGCAGAGATTTGGGCTCAGTTCTGTTTCTCTTACTCCCTTGTCTCTTGGACGCCAGAGAGCAGCAATAGCAAAGTGTCCCAACCTGAATACCTGGCGTTTCAGTTAGTCATAAAAGATGAATGTGTGAATTATCTTCTGTTAACAACATAAATGTTTGTGACGATGGGAGATATATTCAAAGGCCTCACAGACTGACAATAGGCAGCTACATACAAACCTCTAAGGCATCTCAGTGACATACAGGTACACTTTAAAGAGAAGCTAATGTATGGGAAGACATTTTGGCACACTGGTTGCACTTCCCACCCCTGTTCAAATTCTAATTCTTCAAAATCCATGCCCTCTTCATATAATTTAAATCACATCCAAATAAAAAAAATCTGATATATGATATTTTTGCAATTAGCCATGGGCTCTTTTTCATTTTAGTCTCCTTTAGTAAAATAGTCTCATCATGATTATGCAATTTTTTTGTGGACTTAACAGAACAGGAAAACTATAACACAATAACAAACAACAACAATAAAAAGAGAGGGACAGAAAGATATTCCTGTAGTAAACAGACTGAGGTTACAAAGTCGAGGAGATGACGGTTACAAGTTCCAAGGCTCCTGCTGCCCCTCAAACTCCAGTGGATTGAAGACCAAATCAACAATTGTGTCAAATTTTCTTATTAGGAATATCAGTATGTCTGCATGCATGGACATGGTTGTGTTTCTGCTATCATCTTGTGTTAAGAGTCACAAGCCGGGAGATCAGCTGCAAAAAAAATCCTGAAGGTATCTGAGGGCATTGGTTTATCTCTCTCTCTGTCCCTCCATTTGTGGTGGTGTTATGTACGAATTTTCCTTTTATCTTCAAAGAGCGAGCGGACAAGGTAGACCTGAACTGCCGACACCAACATCATGACAAGGAGATTTATCACTGACCAAAGGTTCACCCTGTCAAAGTTGTTCTCCTGGATGTTTCTGTCACGAGCCTCGAACGCCCGCAGCAGGGTCTGGATATGTACACTTTTGCCAAGTCGAGCCTTGACATTGTTGATGGTGTCCTGAAGGAAAAGAGACAGATCAGACTGAGCCGAACTATAAAAAAAAAAAAGAACAAACTCAACTTTGTCTTATGTACCCGAAACTAAGCTAATAAGAAGCATTGATTAGATAGTACAAAAATAAGAGAGGAACAGTTGTATAACATCCCTGCGATAAGGTCGCAACCTGTCTAGGGCATGCCCAAAATCTTGCCCAATGTCAGCTGGGATTGGTTCCTGCCTTCTCCCAACCATAAAGGATAAGAAAATGGATGGATGGATGGAAATTAAGAGCACCGAGTCAGTTTTGAGGTTGTAAACAAAGCAGCTCCCTCAGGTCTGTTTGTTCTACCGTAACAAAACAACTTCCTCCACAGCTGGAAGTTAGATTTCCTGTCAGCCTGATGTGACTTCTGACACAAATTAAGAAATATGGGGGGGGATGCAAGCTGAATCAATTGGCTGCCCATTAGGTGAGAGTTCATGACACTGTCTATTGTTGTAACCCACTCCGTGTGCCTTTGGCTGTATGTGGTGCACTGCAAGCTATTTTGTGGCCAGCCTACTCACTGGGTAACTTTTCACTCCCTGTGTCAGCATAGATGGAACCATGAAAAATGTCTCAACAGCGGACAAGAGAGGGGCTTGGTTAAAATATTCAGTGTGAAGAAATCAATTATTACAACTTCAGCCTGAAAAGTAAGCACACAAGCAAACTTGTTTAGAACTCTGGAACATCTTCTCTAAGTCAGACTGTCTGCAGCCTCACCATAATGTCCTCCAGCCTCATGTCCAGTGTGTCTGTTCCCTGAACATACTCCTTCCAGTCATCTGGATCTTTCTCTACATCCATATTGTCCAGGATCAACTCAAAGAAGATAATCTTCTCAGAGACGGAGCTGAATGTGTTGTCAAAGCAGAACATGTAGTCTCCGTCCTCAGTTTCAACACTGCAGGAAAGCACAGGAAGTTAGAGCTTACACATTTATCTCTTTGATTAATGTTTCTCAGATGATCTATTTACATCTAGCATGGGTTGAAATGCATGAGGCTTGAATCTAAATCTACAGTCCCATAGAAAAGTACTGGGACGTCAAGGCCTATTCATTTGTGTTTATTGAAAACTATCGATTTTTGGGTTCAAAATCAAAAGATTGTGTGAGACAAGAGTTCAGAATTTCAGCTTTTATTCCCTGGTATTTTACAACTAGATGTGTTGAAGGACATAGCAACTTTCAGCTTTATTCTTTAAACATTTAAAGCACTGAATGTGTTGCCTTGGGTTTCAGATGTGACGACTGCATTTCTTGTCAAAAAGTATAAACCAAGTTGAAGACCAAAGGGCTGTCTATGAGAGAAAAGAACGCCATTGTGAAACTGATAAAAGCAAAGGGATAGAACTGAAGCACAGTGGAGGTGGTGTCTAGACTGCTGATGTGTTCTCCCATCTTTATTGATGATGTAAATCAGGATGGTAGCAGCTGAATGAATTCAGAAATTAATAGAAACAATTAGTTGTCCAGTTTACAGAGAAATGCATCCAAACGAATCAAGAGAAAACCAAAAACAATGCTAACACAACACAGGATATCCAGGGGGGAAAAGTGGTCAGTGCAAAAGGTATTGTATCCTAAGTTTTTTTTATTTTTTTATTACATCTAAGCAAGGCATATAAATAGTAGCCCCCAAAATATGTCAGATTTCTTCTATCTACCTCCATGCATCATTCCCTCGGAAATCTTGCCATGTTAAAAAAAAGGTCTCGGATCTGCCCCGATTTGGATCCACACCAAAATGTATTAATTCTGAATTCATTGTGGGTGGTGAAATCTTACAAATAACTAATGGATAAACAAATGCAGCTGAAAATATAACCTCCTTTGCAAAAGTGATGAAAGCTGAAATTCTGAACTCTCTCACATTCATCTTTTGAACTGAATGTCTTCAGCGTTCAACAAAAACGAAGGAACTGGCCATGACATGTAGAGAAGTGCATACTTACGTGTGTACTCCATCGGATTTGCGGTAGTCACTAAACAGCACTTGGCCAGAGGGAGAGGAGATATAGAAATCTACATCGAGACCTGCACCATCTAATACCTGTGGAAGGTGGACACACACAAACACAAGAGAATGGTAAAGAAAAAAAGAGGAAAACTAAGAGATATTAAAACAACACTAGCAGTTAGCAGTTTCTGTAATATACTCATCAGACATCAAACTTTGAGAAATGCTAGTTTTTTGTTCAATCAATGTCTCCCTCATTCTCCACTACACCTGGATACCTTTAACTTCACAGCAGACACTACAACAGATACATGAAATGCTTGGGATGTCTCCCACAGGCACCGACAGCACACAGTCACAGATTCATTCAGTGCTCTGAGCTGACCAGCACAACAGGTTCCTAACAATATGAACATCGAGGTGTGAACCACCGAACCTGTCGGCACACTTGCACAACATGTGATGATTTGATTTAACATCTGGTTTCCATACAAGCCAACCTTGTAACAAACCATGAGAAACACGACGTGGACAAAAATAGAGGCTTAACAACAGGTTTAACAAGAATGGTGTTATGTCAACGTTGACTTCAACTTGGAAGGTTGTCATTGGTCCAGCAGAATGCAAACACAGAGAGCGTTTTTCTGTTTACTTGGCTGTTAAATGAGTTTTTATAACCTGATATTCAATCTCCAGGGAGGCATCTTTCCTCATGGTCTGGTAGAAACACTCCTTCCGACCGGGAGGCAGGGTGAACGTGAAGTCGCTGTCCAGGGACTGGGAGAAGGCAGCCAGCGCCACAAATCTCTCCGAGAACAGAGTCACCAACACGGGCAAGACACACAGAAACCCCCGGTGTGCATCCATTGTGAAATCCTGCGAGTCCAAGAGAGCCGGGTCGGTGTTAGTCTGTCCCCGCCACTGCGTCTCTGACAGGAAGAGCAGCTAACCACGACCACACAAACTTAGTTGAAATGTTCTCTCACTACTTCAGACTGCCCACACTTCAGGACCCCGCCTGTTCAAATCCCCTGTACTTTATTCATCACCTCAAATAACACAGGATAAATTCACTGGTCTAGTTTGAGTTGTAATAATTCATGTTATTTTATTTCATATATATCTTATAGTAGATATAATCAAAAAAAGATACAGGCACATTTTTAGGGTCCGTATGAGAGTGCATTATGGGATACGTAGTTCATTTGCTCTATTTACTGTAAATATAGATGTATTCAAACAAACCTTTTAATTCCAACACTGCAATTGACCAATGCAGGTACACCGTATCAAATTCAAATAAGGAAGGCGTAATTTAGAAAATGTCAGAATATATAAATGTATTTTTCATTATCTGTTTTCTCACCCTTTAAAATAATAAGGGATTTTAACGACCTAGCAAAACCTACATTTTAGCACTTGTTAAAATGTTCCTAAAAAAATCCTTAACAATAAACTGAAACAAGGTTAAAAAAATAGGGATTAGAGAGAATATCAAAATGTAGCTGCATTTAGTCTTGAACCTTATAATTAATGGTTGTATTTCAAATTTCCTTCTACTGTGGTTTGAATCCTACATTTCTATATCTGATTTGAAGGTTTTTTGTGATGTTGAGGAAAAAGTACACAGTGTTCACATTTCTCACAGCCCTCACCCCCCACACACACTTAATGAAGTAACGCACACAATAACTCATTAACATTTACAAAGCCACATGCATGAACACAGCTCAGTTCTTCTGAAACATGACGGATCCGTGTGTTGTGAACTTGTGATCAGATCTGTGGGTTTAATGTTTGTTCATTTTTATCAGTAAGGTGACGCGTCCTGCTCCACATCCTCAGTGCAGTGGGAAGGGGCGGGCGCTCCTCCTGTCACGGTGCTGCAACCTCTCCTGCGATTGGCCGACAAATCCTCCGCTGCGATTTGATTGGCCTGACGCGAGGCCTGGGTTGAACTTATCGAGAGTGCAGCTGCCCATCAACAGCAGTAGCTGCTGAAGCAAGTAAAGAGGCGGACGGCCGCCGCACAATGACAATTAGCACAGCTCTAAAGTGCGGCGCTTAGCCAGAGAATACGGTCCTCTGTTCATTTTTGCTTAGCAGAGACTGTACGCCTGCTCCTCGGCGTTTTTGTGAAGCCGTGAGGGATCAGAAAAGAGCCCAAAGAGCGAGGATGTTGGTCCCCGCGGGAAGATAATGAAGAGGCTGCGCGTTTTGTTGGTGTGCCTCGTTGTAGCTCTCCTGTGCTGGTAAGCTTAGCTCCTCCACCCACTTCACTGGCGACATGTTAGACACATGCCAGGAGGAGAGACACGTTTTTGTGTCAACTACACCGTCTGTCACGTCGTTTTTCTCTTTGTCTTGTCGTTAGATATCCGCCGGTCATCAATGAAACCATCCCCAAAGCTACACAGCTAATATTGTCAGCTACACTGTGGGATGTGTTGACCTCCAACTCGAGAAAAGAGCCTGAATATGTTGTTTCATTCTCGTAACTAGCTGACAAACTATGTGTTAGTAGATTGGTTATATGTAGTTGTTGAAAATCAACATAGCTAACTAATCTAAACCATTTAAACATAAACTGAGCATTTCTGTATGTTAATAGCAACAAGCTACTTTCTCTACAAGAATTATGTTGTTGCATGTGTAACTTCCCCTTCCTGTTACTTGATGAACAATTATTACATCATGGATTATATTTCCATTCAATTAATTGTCCACCTAAAGAATCTGTGCCACAGCTACAACTGAAAATGGTTTTCTCATTTTGGGCTACAAATGTAAACCCAGTAGAAATATTGCCTATTTACCTAATTAATAAATAAATTCTTCAACAGTGGGTCAATTATAGCCAGGCAATACAACAATATCAATAATTGTTGCAATCTAATTTTCATTAATAGCAATATAATTAGTGGCTCAATATATATCAATAAGAGGTATAACATAATTGATCTACCTCCAATTTTATCATGGGTTTTTCATTCTCTGCTCATAAAGAAGAGTTTATAGCCTCAAACCCTCGATCAGAAGGGAAAAAAATCTGGTTATTGTGATAATTTTCAACATTGACTGATTATCTTGATATTGTTTTTGCCCATACTGTCTAGCTCTAGTGTCAATTAACCAATGAGAGTAGATACAAATCAGGTCCTTACCTAAACCCTGACAGGCTATAGGTAAAAGTCTGTGAAAAGGTGAAAACCCAGCATAAAATAAACAACCATTATACCTACAGATGTCATAGATCGGTTTCTGTGTAAATGAACTGAATAAATCAAAAATGAGCGGGTTACATCAGGTAGATGAACAACCTAACAAAATAATTTGTTTAATCTCACAAGCACAGAGCAGGTAAAAACGCAAAGGTTTTGTGATATGGGATCAGACCAGCTAACATGTCCCTTTATCCTGATAGGTGACTCAGGAGCTTCTCCTGGAGTTACACGAAGAATTCTATTTTCTTTACAATATAGAAACTGAATGACTGTTTTGTTTGGTAGAGCATATAACATTTTTCATTATAGTTGATTGAAAACTAAGTTTATATCATAAAACAATACTTTTAAAGACTCCAATAACTAAGCTCCTGCAGACACCATACGTGTAGACCTTTTGTGTTTTGGTTCCAGGAAATTATAAACCTTATACCTGTGCTACCAATAAAGAGTTAACAATGATTCTGCAGACATTGGACGTAATGATCCCAATGGATTTTATTCAGGTTTGAGTGCCCATGTTTATAGTCTTTTTCTTAGTGTTTTTTCTTCATCCCTGCTTCCTTGTAGCTTCGGAAGCAGATTTTAGTCTATATTTTATTTATTATCATAGGAAGGATGAGCATCACATAATATCTTCATCAATAAATCAAACTTGCTCTTGTACAACTCTGCTATATTTTATTAACAGTATTCATGCTTTGCTAAAAATAGGCATGCTGGCATGAATAAGTCTAAATATTTGGTCAGAAACAGAATCAGATGGGGGATCCACCTATTAGTTTGTAACCCTTGTACCTTTTTATGAAGAATCATCACATTCACATAGATTAGATAATTTTGAAAGGTTTCAGGTATTGCTCAGATAGGATTTATTGCACCTGATTGTCTTTGTAGAGGGTAAACAAAGAAGGATGGAATGAAAACAGATAGGCAGGCTTCTACGTTCTGCCTGTGAAAAAACTACCACAGGAATCAAGAAAGATGTTAGTAATTTTAATTCAAGAAATGTCCAAAGATTAAATCTACATATCGGACTGTTCTCAATCTTCATTTGATTACAGCTGTTCATCTTCTGTGTTTGATTGCTATAAATGCTGGTGCACTTTTTCACTTTCCTACAGACTAATTACTGACGATGCAGCCACACGTATAGACCCCATTTACCCCATTTAGTGTGTTGCTGATGGCTTCTCACTTCTCCATGTCAACTCTCACACGTCCCAGTGGGAAAAGCAACATAGTGAAGGCAATCCTTGCAGTAATCCAAAGGTTTCCAAGGCAGCAGCGATTTCAGGCATAGAAAGCAGCTCTTTAGAGGGGACTGGTGGAAAATGGCTGTGGGGGGGGGACATTCTGTCATTGTGTCAACTCTTGTTTTTAATAAACCTGTGCTTTTTGAAATGATATGGGTTAATATTGACATTTCAACATTTGATTTTATGTCTTGTAGCTATGTGAAGTCTTGACGTCAGTAGGCTTCGTTACTGGAATGCTATAGGCATAGCAGAATGTATTCTGTGTGTCATGCTGCCCCTGCACTCACATAGTCAGCAACAGGGATCTTACTGTGCACTGCTCTGTCAAGCTGATGAGTTCAGCATCACTAGTGTGTCAGAGGTGTGTGCATGTGCACTTCAGGTACAGCAATGTGTTTGTGTGAGGGTGCACGTTAATTGTCAGTAATAATAGCTCACCACACACTTTCTCCCCCTTTTTAGATTTTAAGTCCAGTGCCGAGGTGTTAGCTGAATGTGGTGTGTCAGCACTCCTCTCTGTTAAAACACAACCCTTATTGCTGGTTACACTCTGATCGAACGAAAGGCTGTTTAACGTCAACAGTTGACATCTAATTGTATGTTCTGTAAAACTACCAACAAGGCAACGTAAACAACTGGACTGCAATCATTGCATTTGCTCAGTAGTATGCTCAAGAGAAATAGCTGCGTGTGTTGTCATTCTCTCATTCTGTCCCTTGTCATATGAATCAAAGCCATTTGGAGATTATTATTATGTAATGTGATTAGCACTTATGAGATAACTCTGTAGCCAAATGTCCAGCTGGGATTTTTTAATATATTCTCCTTAGACTGCAAACACTTTTATTTGCTGTAGCATAACAAATAACAAAAGTTGTCAACCCAGTGCTGTTAATTTATCTTATGCTGGTTCCATACTAATAAGGATATTTTGCAAAATAAACTTTTTCCTCTGTTTTTGGGCCTTGCATCTACACGCAAACAGCGTGTAGACAAACGTCATTCAAAGAGAATATTTCAGAAGGCTGTTTTTTGTGTGTGCACATTTAAAATGGAGCAATAAGGAGACAATACTGTCACAGCTTACTTCGAGCATGTACAATGTTGCTTTATGTAATGATGTTTTTGGCATGTGCCAGAAACAACACTAATAGTACCAGTTTCTCTGCATTTAGTTGGCACTGCTACACTACATGTTTGTTGCTAAATTTAGCATTACTGCAACTCATTGCTGGCATTCACAGTGTCTACCAGGCTCAATATGTCTTAGACCACAGCACTATTCCCTGGTGGATTGTTGATGTAGACTTTATTGCCACCTACTGGCTGCTTGTTTGAGCGTTTTTCGTAATTTTTGTGGGGGTTTTAAAAAAAGTATTGTGGAATGCTTTTACCTCGGCTGCTTGTGTTTAATGTTTGTCCTTTATGTTCTGGCACCAAGCCAGTGAAAGTTCACAAGGTATTGCTTGTTTAACCTGTCCTTTTTCTGTGACCATCTATAGGACATCATGGTCTATATGGACTTGTACTTGCCTTGTGCTGTAGATAAGGGTTTCGCAACTCGCCTTTCCAGTTCTTCAGCAAATGTGAACTTCTGCTTTGAAAAATTGGTGTAGATATGAACAGAAAAAGCTGATTGGTAGAGGGATTGTTAGTCTGTGAGCTGTAAGATGTAGAATGTAGCTAAACAGACAGTTGATGACCCAAAAGCAAATATTTAGTCAGCTAAGAGCTTCTACACACAAGCTCTACTCAGTTAATTTTTTTCCTTAAAACTTGTGGATAGCCTTTGCACAGTGGGGGAAAACTGCTCATGTGAAAGAGGGCTTTACTGTTCACAGTTTTGCTGAGATAATGTAGCCAGGCTAACTTTCCTGCTCATGAAATCAGAAAAACAGTACACAGTAGTGAGTACAAGTCATTTGCTTCAATCCATGTGAATGTGTACAAAGAAGTAAGTCACAATATAGCTAGAGGACACTCTCGTGTGTTCAGCCAACTTTTTTTGAGGCTGTTATTGCATAAGTAGATCCTCCTTGTCAATGTGCACTTGTAGCCATGGAGCCTGTCATACTGCTTGTGTTTCCGACTGGTAGATACTCACTGGCATCTGTACTGGGCACTGAGAGCAAATGTCAAAGAAACAAAGACAGCTCTGTGTGTTTTTTGGTTATTCCAGCCATGGAAAGGGAGGGGTGTCGGAACATGAAGGTGAAATGAAGGTAACAAAGCCTGCCTTTGGTCACGAAGATGTTGCTTACTTTAGCCATCACCTCCCAAGTATTAATTTAATCCTGCAGCCATGCTGTAACCTTTATGGCCCTGCAATACCATGTGGCTCTTGTGATTTACAGCATGCCTGTAAATGCCTGTTTGTCTGTACATGTGCTTTGTATCTCTCATCTTTAGCTCTGCATTCATTAGATGGCCCTTTGTTGTTGAGGTATTGTACTGCTAGAAACCTGGGCTTTGTGAGTGCTGTGACTGATTGCAAGGGTGAAGGAATAATTGCAATGTATGCATGTAGATCTCTGGTACTTTACATATACCCAATTTTATTTATAGTAACAAGATGTTGCCACATTCTGACTTCATGTTGAGTTATGGTTAGGCTAGAGGACTTGAGCAACATTACCCATTCATGTATGATGCCACCTTTTATGGAGCAGGGCGGCTGTGGTTGAGGGGGTAGAGAATTTGTCCGCCAACCAGAAGGTCTGCAGCTAAATTCCACTCTTCTCCATCTGCATGCCATGCAAAGGATTTTGA